GTGTGCCTTCAAGTCATTTCCAACTTATGGGGACCCTAAGGTGAACCTATCATGGGGTTTTCTGGGAAAAATTTCTTCAGAGGAGGTTTGCCATTGCTTTCCCCTGAGGCTGGGAGCATGCGACTTGCCCAAGGTCACCCACTGGGTTTTCATGACAGAGCTGGGAATCCAACCATGGTCTCCAATCACAGTCCAACAATCAAACCACTATACCATGCTGAAAATGCCTTGAATGCAGGTCATCTGTGGTGATTTACACCTAAATGGGGTAGGGCAGGAACACTACAATTATTCTGTTCTACAGCTGCTGCATCTGTAGCACATTTGGCAATGGACTACAAAGTGAACACCGAGAATAGATGCTAGAATTAAGACTCCATATTGTGGCGATGCATTTGGTAGGACAACCAAAATGGCACAGAATTCATTGCACACATTTTTAATGTTCAAGGTTTTCTTCTTGCTCTGGCAAAGAATACAAAGTCAACAACATGGATTTGCAAATTTGTCCTATGATGAACATGGCTTTCCCTCCATTTGTTTGATTAAGAGGTTTCATTGCTTGGAGTGCCACACTGGAGACACAGAGTAACTTGTCATGGAATAATTCTTGGACCACATTAACATCCTCAAAATAATTTATTGTGTCAAAATGTAACTTAGCTATTAGTCTTCCTGATGTTCCAAACAACAATAATGACAAAAAATCCCAACACACACACACACTGAAAGCAATTTTCTTTTGCATGCTATTTCTGTTCAGAAAGATGGTTACATTAACAGCAAGCTTCTCCTCCTCTCCCAACAAATTCTACTCATAAAACCCCTTAAACAGCTAATTCAATGTTTTGTTTTGCTCTATTTTATTTTCCTTTCAGGAGTGAGCAAAATAAGACAGTAAGACCTATACAGACCTGCTCTGATTCTCAAAAGTCAAAGATCTTTTGCTAGAATGAAATTCCAAACAATTTCACTGTAAAATTGTGCAGATGTTGCAAGGTTAAACAAAGCCTCAATTAATTATTTAGTATGGTCCTGCCAGCTTAGCTCATGATATATAAACATTCCACAGGAGAAGAGAGTTTTGACCTCTCCACTCTTCCTCCTCCCCACTTTCTTTATTTTCTTTTAAAGTCAGTTTCAGATCTACATCCTTAACAGCTCCTGTTCCAGAGCAAATGGCAGGAAGAAACAGAACTGCTTTGCTCATGAGAGAGACATTTTACATTGAATGAAGGCTGAAATATTTTCTTCACAAGTCAGAGAGCTCTGTTCTTTATCCAAGCCACCTGACACTAATCCTTATTGATGTTTTAGTTCAGCCACCTTTTACCACCAGATGCACCATGTATGGGTCTGCAAAGTAATATAGGAAATTCAGAATGCTCTACCTAAAAAAAAGCACTTCCACACTGCAAGGAAAAAGATATAATTTTAAAAAACACATTTAGATTATGTTGATTGCTATGCCTGATGATGGCCCATCTCTCTTTTTTTCTGCATGCATATGTAAACCCACCCCCAAACACAATATGGGAAGCTGTGATTTTGCACACATGAAGCTACCTTATAGTGAATCAGAACACTATAACACTCAGGATGCATCTGCACTGCAGAAATAATCCAGGTTGACACCACTTAAACTAACATTGCTAGTACTATGAAATTCTGGGAATTGCAGTTTGTTGTGGCACCTGAGCTCCCTAGTAGAGAAGGTTTAGATGTCTCATAAAACTACAGTTCCCAG